TTTGCCAGCAGATGTCACTGCTGTAGATCTGATGAAGACCAGAGGCGACTGGCTGTTTGCCCCTTGTGGCGCATGGCAGACAAGAAGCTTCTGTAAAAGGACCGATGAAAGAGCGGACGGGGCGGTTGCTAGCGGATTCCGAACGAGTAGCCCAAGTGAAAAGTTAGTTGGTCTTCCTTTCTACCAAAAGAGAAACCGATAGCGATAGCGGATGAGTCAGTGAGGTTAATTTGACCTCGCCAGCCGCGCCGGCCACACCGGACTGCCCCATTCCATCGTGTCTCTCCCAACACAGAGTGTTCCCAAGCTAGGGGGCAAGCGGGCGTCTGTCTAAGAGAAGAAACACACGGCCGCACTGCCTCGCTGGCGCACTGCACTGCGAGAAGGCGAACGCCGACAACCGTAGACTAGAGCAGTGTCGGCTGCAAAGCGCTGTAACAGTCCGCGCCGGACTCTGACGCGGGCCGACAGCGGCCGCGCACTGCTGCTTCTCGAAGAGAGTGAGATGAGACGTAGCGGGTAGTAAAAAGTTTTGTAGATTATCCTCAGCAACGCTGTGGCGCCGGCGGATGGTCTGCAGCAGGAGTTCGCGAGCGAACCGCTGGATTCAAGACGAGACCCCTTTATCTCTCCTTTCTCTCTCCGTGAGCGACTATATATCGAGGACGGAAGCTCTGGAGTTCGTAACTATTACGTTAAAGAACCACTGGGAAGCATGGGCGGGCAAGCGGGGCAAAGGTGAATGAAGGGAAAAGTGTGACTTATTTCGACGAATACAAGGTATCCAGTAAGAGAAACGAGTTGAATAGGCTGGAACGACTAGGGAAACAGCATGCTCCTCAAATGGGAGTCACTTTTATCTATAGAGCTTGCGGCAGTGATGAAAACAAATACACAAAAACGATGCAATATCTATCCAAATAACTTCGTTAAGGGATTCGCCTATTATTATAGCATAAGCACACACTGAGCTAGACCTGCACATTGACAGCGAGTCTCGTAGCATAATAACAACTCAACAATTTGTATTCAAACAAAAATCAACGATGTATAGTTTTTTTTATTCGCAGCTCTTTTAGCGCAAATAATTTAACTGTCAGAGGGAAAAATCATTTTGAACGACACCGGAACACTGGAGAAGCAGCAAGAGTTCGACAACATTGAGACCCCTCAACATTCGCCCCTTACCCACCCTTTACCCCACGAACTTTCGTTTGCATTGCCACTTGCTCGACGCTGTAGAGCAGGTGCATCGAAAACGCAGTGCCGCGCGTGCTGGTCAAATATTTAAGAGTCTTTTAGAATGGAAGCGCGAAGCTCGATGTCGGTCTTGAGTACACTATGACTATTATTTCAGGCTGTGGAAATGCTTCAAATAGTGAAACTCTGATGCTGACGAGATTCGGAATCGGCATGATACCACCGGAAATCGCCCTTCAAAGTAGAGAGCAAAGCTAATTTGACAGATTGCACTCGTCAGTATGTTATATTTATGGAAAAGAAAGGTTTAGTTATCGTTCTCTTTTGAACCAGATGTAAAAAAATCCGTGTTTTTCAGAAGAAAAGATCAAAACAATTTGTAGTTGATAGCCGAGAGGAAAAGGAACGCACAGACCGAGTTCATCTTTGGAACACTAACCTTCCGATTTGAAAGCTGGTCTAGCAAAGGAAAAGGACAAATATCACAAAGAACAAGACAACTTAACTCCAGCAGGGATCGAATAAGTATTAGCGAGAATCAGCAAGACAAAGACGAGAGCCTAAAGAAAAATAAATTTACCATTTCCACTTAAAAATAGAAATAATCAGCGACCGCGTTTTTGGCTCATAGAAGTGGCCGGGGTACTAGGCGCCAGCGAATTGGCCAAACGAAGGCCCTGCCATGAGCGTCTTCTGCTACTTCACTGTTTTAGCCACCAACACCAGCAGCGGTAGGACTAACAGTGGCTTCTCTGGCATGAAGAGCGTTAAGCTAGATCTGTCGTGCTCTTCGGGGATATTCGTGGGGCAGTGTCTAGCCTGTTGTGTCCGCGCCGGCCCAGCGGTTACTGGTGAAGTAACGTGGGGTTGGTCAATACATTCACTCACTACCTACGAGTCGGCCGAGTGAACGATGACTTCAAACAGTTTTTGTCTCTCTAAGTCTGTTGCTTCTCAGCACCGACAGTTTTAGTCTCCAGCACGCCAACGAGAGTAAGCTGGTTGCCTTCTTTAGCTTCTTGGCCCTCTCAGTCGTTAGGAGGCCGATGAGGTACACTGTTGGGATCAGCCGTTCGTGTGCGGCATAGACCATAGCATTCGCTCTGCTAACGACACCTATTGCGACTGTCACCAAGTTGGGGGCGCGGATGCTGGGCCGACAAGTTCGCAAAACGACTTCTTCTTCTCGATTTTCTTTCCCCCGTTGAATCCCCCGTCTGCCTACTTTCCTTCGTGGGGCACTTGTCTCACCCTGTGCTGCTGCTGCTGCTGCTATCGTGGCAGATTCCAGTAACGCAATACCTACTCGAGTGACGTTCATGGCCGCGGCTCTAACGGTGATTATTTACTTATAGATTTTTCCACTACAAACTACCTCCGATATGTGGGTGACAGCGGGGCCGAGTGGCAGCGGCACCAGCGAGACAGGCGCGCCGAGCGCGCGAGAAGTCAGCCACCGGCTGCTTCGAGTGCCACGAACGATTGAGAAGGGCCGGTTTCGAAAGAAGGTTCGAGTTCGGGGAGAGGAAACGCGGATGTGCTAACGTTAAAGGCCCGCCCAGATGTTTCTTATTAACCTCATCGATTGCGAAAACTCTAGACCATCGGCAATGGCAAAGCTACTGCCGCCAGCGTTCAAGTCGTCGCACTGTTCCCTCACTCGTCTCGTTTCGTGGCCTCGTTCCAAGGTGGAAGAAGTCAGGGAAAGGCGGTGGGGTGGGGGATCATAGCAAGAAATAACAGGGAGAATGGGGGGTCGAGGTGGAGATGAACGAGAGGTGAAAGACCCAAGTCGACGTTGCTCAGAAGAGGCATACGACTTTCGGCGGTCAGCATTGACTGCTGCCAGCAGCACAAAAAAACTCTCGCATCAAACGGCTGTTACTCTCGCTCAGCTCGCAAAAGTAGCGCTGACAGTATATATGTACAGTACATCAAAGGATGCTAAAGTTTTGTGTGCGGCAGAGGATGAAAGGACGTAAGGAGAGTGAAACGGAAAAGAGGAAAGTAAAGCAAAAGTGTAGAGAAGATATAGTATAGTATGCGGTAAAGGTGCGAAAAAAGCAGGGCATCAACTCATTGTGAAAAGAATAACACTGCTGACGAAAAGTATGAGCAGACGGAAGATGCCGGAAGCGACCGAAACTAGCAAGCGAAGCTTCTATGGGGGACAGACTGAACAACTGAAGACTGAGTAGCCAAAGGGAAAGAGTGAGAGGTTATAAGCCAGATGATGATTTTATCGTTTCGAAGAAGACTCATTTAAGGGGTTTGTTTGGCGACACCTGGCGGCTACCAGAAGAGATAGGAATAGTTTCACAAAGAACGGTAAATGGTACCACTCAGTTCTCAGGAGCAATGGGCGTCTTTGTTAAGTACTGAGGTCGTCGTTGAGTTGAACGGAGTGAAAATTGGTGCGCTCGTCTTATATCATATACGCAGACACTAATAGCAAAGTTAACTTAGAGGAATTGGAGGGAAAAATGTCACAAGGTAGACGATACAAATATACGACACAAAGGCTTACAAAGAAACGAACGTCTAGGCTATTTATGCAAATGATGGTTCGAACAAAGTTTGTTACCCATCGAGGCTGTCCAAAATAAAAAGAAATCATATATCCGAAGGCCAACATTGGCCCGGTACTATTAGCACAACACTGAACTTATTGTAAAGGAAATCCGGTAGAAACTGATGTTGTGTTTGTGGGCACAGAGGGTTCGCTGCTTCTGTCGTTGTTCCTGTTTCCCTTGGGCCTTTTCCTATGCATATTACCGTAAAAGATATTTAAATCATAATTACTACAATAGTGTACAGGTTTCTCTTACGCGCCTTACGCACACATCCAAGTTTTCTATGGTAAGTCGGGCTATAAAGGATGGATCTAGTCCGCTCGTCCGTAAACGCGAATTGAGCTTAGCCTCACTGACCAGCTGATTGTTATCACAAAAGACAAGCTTAACGAATAACTAAGATAATTCTATGGGTCTAGCGCTTTATAACCGGAGTGAGCTTTTGTAGACTATAGTAATTCTAAACATACAACATGCGACTATCTTTCGTGAAGCTTTGGAAGGGTAAACTATTATACAATGTACCTCTTTTTCTTCCAGTGGTGTTTAATGATATCGCTATTTTTTCGAGGCTCTTGAGTGCTGGCGGCCACGTGGGCGCAACTACCGGCGTTCACAGCTTCCTCCGGCGAGGACATCCTCTTCCGCCGGCGCAGTTACGGCTGCCGGCCACGATTGGCGTAGTCCCCCCTGGCCCGCCCGGTCGACAAAGGCCGGGCCTCCTCCTCGCATGCTCCTCCCGTCGATTTGGCTCGTCCCGTTCAGCGGCATCGTCTCGCTCTCGGCCAATTTCCTACTGCCACTGGCATCGCTGTTTCTGTGTAAGGTTGGTCGGCCTTCAGCATCCTTCATCTCGGGGCCCGTCTCGGCCGCGCCTCGGCAGGCACAGCCGGGCGCGGGCGGGGTTCGCCCTGCTGCTGCGCTGCTGCTGCCGCCAGCGCCGACCTCTAGGCCGTGGGCCGCGCGTTAAACTCGCATCTGGGCGGCGCCTGTCCACCTGAGGCTCCCCCTCACCAGCGCCAGCAGGCTCTCAACTGTTGCTTCGTTCCCGCTCGGGTAGCTCTCCCGCTCCCCGGGAGACGATATCCGAACTCAGGGGAATGGAGGAGGTGCTCCTGGCTTTTTCCCTCCTCGCCCTCAACAGCTACCCTTTCCTCTGGGGCCGAGTCCTTAGCTTATAAAGGCAGGCGGACGTAGTAACGCACCGTCGTGCAACGTGTGTGCTTTTTTCGACTTGGCGAAAGACAGTTCTCGCCACAGTAAAACCATGTACGACAACGACAGCAGCGACAACGACTGTCACTGTCACTCACTTTTACTTCCATTGTCCGTGCCCAGTTCCCCTGTTTCTTCGTAATCCGTTGTCTCAGTGATTCGGCTGTCACAACCGCACTTCTCTCCGTATAGTCTGTCTAACTCCGTATCCATTGGGCTATTCAACAACCGTATCTTCTTATCTTTCACCTGCAACCTGTGCAACTGTGTGTATCTGTTCGTATGTATGTGTGTGTGTGTGTGTGTGTGTGTTTGTGTGTGTATTCTAGTGCAACGATTAGTACATTTGCCATCACTGGTATTGGCACTCTTTCAGCTACTACTGCAACGCTACCGTGACCATTTATATTCATCTATTTACTGTTCGATTACAAGTCATATTATTAGGATGACTACTATTGCTCCAACTTCTATAAAAGCTCTGATCTCTTGAAAGGACGTCTCCACTCGAACGGAGAGTCAAAGCGATACGGAACAACGAAGAAATACGTCCTTTGAAGGACAAGGAGAAATCGACCACTGAACTGTGCAGGCGGTGTCAATTCCCAGGAGTGGTATCGTAGTGTTTATTTTTGAGAGTGATTATATTTTTGTTGCTATTAGGGTTTAGTCGGTTCAACGACAACTCTGGCTCCTTTGCTGCTGTTGTGGTGACCTTCGAGAGCTGCCCTCCAGGGTCGTGCACTAATAATGCCACGCTGTTACCTACTCAAGAAAAAGGCGGCAGCCCTCCAGCTCAAAGGCCAGAGTCCAGAGGGGGCTGAATACATTGTCGAAGAGCCCCCATCTCCTCCATCGGCTGATGATGCTGACGAAGTGCAACCGGAAGCGCCACACAGTAAGTATCGAAACGTATCGTAACGCCTGTGTCAAATGACGCAGTCACGCGACGATCAGCCACAGTCGCATACATGTTGGTAATAGCTTAATTATCCAAGTAGGTTAGCACGAAACTTGGCTTGCGTTCGTTTATATGTATTTATTTATAGTAGGTAGTTTGTATCTTGAAATAATCTCGATACGATTTTTTGCGTTATCCCAGATTGAACCAAACGAGTTACAAACTCAGTGGCATCAGCGATGTTATAACTTTTTTTCTACTTAACTTTATAAAATTCACGACGATTCAGTGCCGACCACCTTAAGGCTTTGAAGACGTACTACTATTTGAAAACAAAAACTCAATGTGTAAATAATGTCTGGTTGGGATGATAAGGTATGTTTAACAACTCGAATCGTCTTTGAGGTACAGTGGCGTCTATATGTGCTCTTTTGGTACAACTGCTATTAGAACGAGTACAACATTTATCGTCCTAAATTGGCCAGTCCTTGACTGCCTCCGAAAACTTACCTTTGTCTATCCATTTCGTTCTAGCATCAAATTTTGCATAGAGACCTGATCTATCGCGGTTGATGTACTCGAACCAGCAGCTCAGTTCGAATCACACGGACACAACGAGGGGCACAATAGTGCAAACCCTGATCACCGGTTCGTGAGAGCCCTTCTAGATCATGATTAATTAGTTGTGTCGGGGGCTCTGTATTCTACGCCTCCAAGTCTGGTTTCCTCCTCCCTCCATTGCTGGTGGTCTGAGAACAGGCAAATTGGCAAGCGAAACCGAACGTAGGGGGGTTTGGTGGGAGAAAAAAGAGAAATCCTGTGCAAAAGTGATGTAACAGTAAATGCTACTAGGTCTTGAAACGCAGTCTTGCAACCCCGCCGCTGGGTGTCCTGGAAATTGGACTCGTGTGTGCGCGAGCCATGTAGCCGAGAGAATCTTAGCTCTGACTCCTGCGCTACTGAGTAAGGCATTGAGCTTGCTAGCCAGCAACACTCAAAAATCCACTAACAACATCAAAAGTCAGTCGTCTTGAGTCCGCAGGTAGATTTCGCTTGTCGCGATAAGACAGACTATACAGAGATAAGGCACGATGCGGTGTGCTTCCCTGAACCCAGCGCTACCAGAAGTACCAACGTTGTTATTGGCACGGGGGTAGCACCCCACAGTGCTCGCATCCCGCCAGGGCAGAGAGGTTTTGGTGCACCCTAGACGCCACCTTAATGTGCAACCACAATCAAGATGTGCTCTGTCGGCGCAAGTGATTCAGTCATGTTGCTTGCTTACTCTCTTCATTTAAACAGTAACATTGTGCGCTAATAGGAACAGCCGCTCACAGCCTGGTCGGTTAATTTTGTAGAAATCCGATCATTTTTTGGGGAGAGCGAAAATCAACTTAGACCATCCATGGCTTAGGCTTAGACTCGATAGCTGCACAAGTGTAACATTCGGTGAAGCCATGTTATGCATATATCCTTAATCGACACAGAAGCCCGCGTCAGAACTATCTCTGGCAAGACCGGACATCCACGTAGGGTGGAACTTTGTCCTTTTTATCGTTCTCCCGCTAGCGAAAAGACCATTAACCGACCTGTACTTCAGTGAATGTTAAGGTAGTGAGTAGGACACTTACTCAACAAATAAACGTATATTAATATCTGCATCAACAGAAATAACATGGGTTGTCTGAAGGCCGAATGCTATTATATCTCTTGGTGCAGTCACAGCGTCGTATTTAGTTTTCCGGCCTTTTATTAGGGAGTGATGCAATAGCGACCAAAGGGACAGAACCAGGCTGCCTAACGCTAATTCTCTATTTGTTCATATTGGTACAGTCTAGCATTACGGTTCCCATGTAATGTTACGATTCAACTGGTCTACTTTTTGATAGGTGCATAGGATTATCATTCGTGATCCCCGGCGTACGTTCAGCATTGCCTCAGTGTGACCTCGAAATATATCTTCATACTACGACCATCCGTAAAAACATACGAATGCCCTATAGAGCTCACGACTTAACACATACACGTATGTGAAGCACCGCCCGCTGTGGTGTGTGCTAGCGAGCCAGTCAGCCAACGAAGGACCACTTCTAGAGCCAATTGCACAACAGTGAGGGCACACTCTGGACACACTGAGACGTACTCTGTAGGACTTGTGTAATAGTTATATATTGCCCTCAGACAGCACGTCGGGGTAGTTCGTCTATAAAATGGTAGCCATACATTGTAGCCTTGCCGTTATGGCCGCAATCTGACCACTGGTAACGGACACAAAATTGGCCGAAGGCGATGTCGACCCTTGGGCTAATCCCTCAAATCGACATTGAATAGCCAAAACGCAATGCAATAGCCAGCGATAAATCCCAACTACTCGTCGGCTTCTTCACTGCACTGCCGATCTCAGCGGCTGTGGGCTCTGCGTGGACACTGGGCTGCGTTGCTGACACCCCTAAACACCCCACGGCAAAGGCAACGATTGCTAGAAACGCAAAGAGCAATGCTATGTGTAATGTCATATATCGGCTTCGAAGCGTGAAATCGAAGAGTGTCACTATCCTGGATGGCATCTTTTCCGATTCCCCAGGCCGGCGCTGCACTCTGTCCGCCTCGAAGATCGGCCTCAACAAAAAGCCAACGTGCCTAGCGGATCGTCGACCTAGCTAGCTGCCTAGCCTCGATCGCTGTGTGGATGTTCCATGCCGATGTTCCCACAGCATCGCCCTAAATATTGCACTAGATCATCTCTTGTAGAGGTACTATTGTAGGTCGGCTCTGCAGCAGGGCGTAGCTATTGCAAAAGCGTGCCTGGCCATTTTCGATAGGTTAGGCTCGGCCAGGTCGTGCGGCTCAGGCTCACGGTGGCAGTGTTGGACTTAATAGCTAATTGAGACATAGGGACGCGCAGCAACAGAGGCGGCCGCCCAAGCTGGAAGCAGAGCGCCCGCAAAATGAAACGAATGACTGGTGTCTGTAGGCGCCATTCACTGGAGTCTCATGGCAGTGGGCGCACATACTTACGCGTGGTACCCTGTACCTCGTATGGGACAGCGAAGCTAAGGGTAGGCGGAGGTATATCGGGTTACAGAGGGTGCGCGGAGCGCGCGGGCGTTATAGAAGTCGGCGCAGCCGTCGGCTTGTCGCTCTACTGCTGCTGCTGCTGTTGAGCAGGAACACATCAACCAGATGAGGATATCACAAAGCCAACAGCCTACAAAAGCCAGGTAAGCGTGCACGGGATTGGTAGAAACTTCACTGTTGACTGGTAAGAGGTAAGGGGGTGAGTGGGCCTTTTTCTTCTAGAGCCACTATTGGCAAAGGTTTGTAGCACAATACATACTGCATATGTACGGCACATACTACGCCCCGTTGTTCGTCAATGGCAACGTCCTGTAATGCTAACTGTTGCTAAAGATTAGATCGGCTGCACAGATAACAGTAGCATTTCCCCTATCCATCGATATTTGAAGGCCAAAAGGCTTGCGCATGTTACGACCATGTATGCGCCCTATGTAGTTGCACAATAGTCGATATGAATAGTCAACGTGTTAGCTTGATTACATTAGACACGCATAGATAAACGGTGTAGAAGTATGTCGGCACTGTGTGATATTGCTCGCTCAGTTTCCCGAAGTCCATAATGCGATATAAGCAAACAGGAGCATTAGGTAGACATGTAATAGGTACAGATCATCATATGCGTACGCCATCGACGGTAGAATTGGTAGAAGGTATAAGCTCTACTGTTCCTCCTAGAAGTTATATATTGATCTGCACTCGCTACGTATCTAAGGGTGTCTATCTACGATACCTCTTTGCCTGTATCGTATTATGGTATGTATGTTTTTTTCAAAAAAGGCCACAACTAGAATTATTAATAGATAGCTTCTTATTTAGCATGTAGTCCGAGCAATTCGCTTGTGCTCAGTCGTGAACAGCTATTACTACTACTACTACTACCATTATTGACAGAGATAAAGGACAGAAGCAGTGAGATGGAGTGAAGTCGTGCATAGCACTTTCGAAGAATGAGGAAGACAACGCTCGAAAATAGGTGGGCAGGGACGAAATTGTATCTCTAGTTCACGTGGTTCCTTAAGCGGGACCGCAGCGGGTGTTTGCCCTCAGGCTGTTGGGCGCCAAAGTGCAGCGGGCAGTTGGGCGGACGGGATAAAGGTTTTCGAGTTTTTCTTCCCCCTACCATGGAGCTGAGTCAGCCGTAAAAGTATACCTGTTTATCATGCTTCTGGGCCGTCCTGCCGTCCTTCCCAACACTCATCACTATCAGACGCAGATTTCGTCTGCACCAAATACAACCAGCAAGACTGTAAGCATTGTTTGAACTGTACATGATGTTAAAACCTCGGAAATATAACAAGTGGTTGAAGAATAAGCAACACTTATATTAATGAAGGTACAGAAAATGATTTATAAGGAGATCAGTATTTAGCTTTGATATTTGGTAGATTTTACATAAACAGTGTCGAGCTTAGCGTTGTCCTTGTCGCTAAAACAAAGCATATCTTCTCGTCTGACATCTATTCATAGGTAACCGCAGTTCAACTAAAAAGCGAATATGATAAAACAAAACGATTGATACGTCTTTAGCGGGACAATCTTCAAACACAACAGCACAACAGCCTAGTTAGTGATCATCTCTGGTAGACTATGCGAGGAAGAACACAGAAGTAAATCCTACCGCTTCAGCCTTCAGCAGGCATCGGGAAGAAGAGATCATATGCGAAAGAGGAGCCAGTGTCGAGGACAAGGACTCGTAATTTGTTGTGTTTCTGCTTAGGTGATCGGGGGGGTAAGTGTGGGTGTCGAAGAAGCGGCGTTTCGGCGAAGGGAAACGAACGATGTCAACTCATGAATAATCTAGCTGGGCGCCGAAGTGCGAGGGTTTAGCGACAGCCGGCTAGTGCACTCGATCGTGCGTCGTCGGCCAGTTCGGTCTACAGCGATCTTATAGTATGCGTGGCCACGGCCCTCTCGAGATT